CGTCTCCCGGATGGGGGGGGGGGGGGGGGGGATCCCTGCGGGGAGCGGTGGGGTGACAGTCACTGCTCTCTGCAGGGAGACGGTCAAGAAGTGAGCGAGCGAGCGACGATATGCGTTCGTTTACTTCCCGATCTATTAAGCCGACGTGTGACAGTTTCATTGTCACACATCGGCTCGAACGATGAGGATGAGTGATTTTCACTCACCTCATAGTTCTCCTTTAAATGTTTAGGGAATCGGTTTAGTCAGTTTGTTACACGTGTTGCAAATGATGGTCATAATCTTTTCAAAATACATTATGTGTTTTAGCAGTAGTGTTTACAGGCTTTAATTTAATTTGTTTTTCAAATGTTCTTATCAGCTAAGGTGATAAAACATTCTTTTTTATTGAATAAAAGACAATGTTTTGTTTTTTCTTTTCTTACAGTGTTTTCTTCTTTGGAGCAGTGTTTGTGATTTCAGCTACGTTTTTATATGGATATGACCCCAAGCCATCTGTAAACCCAATTAAAGCATGAAGTGCACGATACAGCACACTTTTGTGTTAGAGCGCCCCCTAGCAGCTGCAGAAGGGCACTACTGGTCACTGCTGGATGAGGAGTTCAAACTAAGAGATATGCTGCTGAGAACTAAGACTGCAGGACAAAACATTGCTGCTCTGTCTTGTGAAGGACCTTACAGTATATTATTTTATATAAGAGAGACTCTATATATTTTGTTAATACTTGAAGTTCGAGGCGTTGATTTCGGGGTTTTTTTTTTCAGAATTGATGCACCTCTCTCCTGATCAGGTCTATAAAATTGCATTATCTTCAATGGGGAATATTTATCTGTGCAAATGGATTTTTAATGTGGTGGTATTTGACCTAATATACCCACTTATTTCTGACCTCAGTTAATTTAAAGATGCAGCTTGAACTAAGAGCTGGATAATCCTCATTACAATTTTATACTGAAGAGAAAAATAATGAATAACATAGGATGTGTTTTGTATATAATGGAATGTTTCACTGTGTTTGGAGATGGGAATGTTTCAAATTGTATAAAGTAAAACAAGGGAAATTAAATACATTTTACCAGTTTTGCATTCTCATGTGTTCATTTTTAGTACAGTCAGTCTGGCTATGGTGGTGTGAGCCAAGATAGACTTAAAAAACGTTTTTTTAACATCCTATAACGTGTTTAGTGGTAGTGCCTCTTAAACACCTAAGGTATGAACACATCTTAAATTCCTGGACAAATTCAAAGAGGTTAATTTTCCATCCCTCAAACCAAATGATGCTGTTTAGAACCATTTAATCTAGTCCTTTTTATGTCTCAATGGCAAACTATGCATATAGAATCCATTGTTTTATAGCACATATAAAGCCTAGTTATACAGTCAATCTTTCAGCTCATAATACAGCTTTTTAAATGCTTGCCAGCACTCTTCAGCAAACAATATGGAAGCCAAGGTCCTGATAAGCACAAAATATCAGTCAGGCTGTGGTGAGTTGAAAAAACAGAAGGAATTAATGACTACAAAAACTCAAAAACTAAAAGACACTAACCTCTTGAGTCCCTGCCACCATTTTATAATTGCACTGGGATAGCAGCTTTTTGCTCAGAGTTGTTTTAAAATGCCAACTGGAAAAAGCAGCTCCGGTAGGTCCTGTTGGAGGTGCAGGCTGGAACCACCAGGTGTCTGTAACAGCTGGTATCCAGCACTAAGCCTAGGAGGTGAAAACCCATAGGCTTCCAGTGCTTTTACAGCAATCTCGATAAGATGATCCAGATGACATTCGCTTTTACAGCTCAAGCATCAACTGCTCATCCAAGTGAGTGCAATGTCATTGGACTTTTTAGTGAACACAAACCTGTCAGAAAGTCTCTGTAATGCTAATGTGTGCAATTGTCAGCCTAACCTAATAGTACACAAAAAGAAAAAGCTGTGGGACTGAGGGATTTAGGGAGAAAAAATGCCTGGGAACTCCACAAGTAGGGAAGAGCTGAAGGGTTCAGTGTACACAGAGGTGGGCACAGTGGCAGGGGAAGAGCTGGAGGGGGAGGTCTGTGGACACAGAGGTGGTGAGAATGAACAGTGGCAACATGGGCTAGGGGAGTCTGCCTCCACACATCCTGCCAGCGCCGAAACTAGAGAGGGTGCATATAATAGTAATCAGCCGGGGTGGACGATACCCCTCTCCTTCTGCAGGCACTGCCAGGGCACCTGAGGCCGCTGGGGAAGGGGGGCCTAGAAGGTCGGGCAGAGACTCAGTGGTGAGTGAGACAATAGAGGACGGAAGAGGCAAGCTGTCAGCAGGTTTGCCGTACATTGATTTGTACAGCGATCATTAAACTGTAGAGGATCTTAAGGGGTGGGCAAACTCTGGCTCTGTAACTGTGGTGGAGCTCCAAGACCCATGATGCATTGCAAGACTTTTGCATATGCAATACTCCCACAGCCAGATGCATGATGGGATTTGTAGTTTTACCACAGCTAGAGGAATGAAGTTTGCCCACCCCTGGTAATAATGCATTGGGTGGATTTTATATGGGCGAAGCCCAAGGGGGCCCCATAATCTCTTATTGCCCGTGGGCCCCATATGTTGTCAGTCCGCCCCTGGTACCCCATAACTCAGATGAGAAGTCAGGTGAGATCTGTACCCCATGGCTGGCATGGGAGATCAGGTGAGCTCTGTACCCCATAGCTTAGATGAGAAGTCAGGCGATCTTTGTACCCCATAACTGGGATTGAAGGGCAGTGGCAGATCCAGGGGGGAGGAAGGGTGGCAAAAGGGCAATTTTGCAGGGGGATGTGGGAACTTTTTAATGAATACCTAGGAACAGCCCATCAATGAGGAGCAGGTGTGGGCTGTTTGCTACCAGTGTGCATAGGAACTGTCCCAGAGCTCCCTGGCACCGTGGACCAGGGTACGGGACCCAGCACCAGTCCTCTATAGATCATGGTGGTCTGCATTGCTGTATAATGTATTGCTGGGATTTGTAGTCCTCTATAGATGATGGTATTCTGCATTGGTGTATAATGTATTGCTGAGATTTCTAGTCCTCTATAGCTGTGGTATTTTTATGCATTGCTGTATGTGTATTGCTTAGATTTGCAGTCTCCTATGGCTGGTGGTATTCTGCATTGCTATATAATGTATTGCTGAGATCTGTAGTCCTCTATACAGTGGCAGAACTACCAGGGTCACAGCAGTTGCAGCTGTGACGGGGCCCTAGCATTTTGCCCCTTGGGGGGGGGGCCCTGGTAACCGCCAACATTGCAGGCTTCTGGACCCCCCTTCTTTCAGTCTGGCCCTCCATCCTTCAGACTGCATGGATTGTGTGTATGATGATTAAACTATGGTTTGGTTTGTGGGGGGGCGCTAATAAAAAGAGTTGCCCCTGGGCGCCTTGTGACCTTGCTGCGCCTCTGCTCAGAACCCCCATTTGTTCTTGGTCATTAAGCTGAGACCCAAGTCGCACTGCACTGGAATGCACCGCATTGCAGTACCATGTGTTCCGGTGCGGGTGATTGAACTCTGGGTGGTAGGTGCGTTATAGGTGTCATTCAAATAAATGCAACGCAACCTTCCGCACCAGGATGTGTGGTAGGTGCAATTGTGTGGTATAATGTGCTAATCACACTGGACTGTACAATTAACGCAGTGTACTAATGTGAACGGGCCCTCGGACACACAACCACAGACACAATCTCACACACTCAGACATTCCCACATACACACGGCAAAACAAATGTTTTTTCTTCCAAGATCCACCCAGTCTCCCTACCTTACGAGAACTGGAGTGGAGCCTGGGGTCCGGTGTGGGCTGCTGTACTGAGGCAGAGCTCCATCCATATATGCATCGCTTGTACAGCTTCTTTGTGCACCCTGTAGTGGT